CGCTTCTGCTTTTCTTTTGCATGCAAATGAAAGTATCTCCCATCAAGCTCATAGATTGGTAGGATATGGAGGCCGCCCGAGGACTAGAACTTGAATATGGGCCATCAACCATGGCACATCGTGGAGGTCCTAGTCAAATCATCGAACGTGTACACGGATATAGACGGCTACCCACGAACGTCATACTCCAACGACCCCCGTTTTCTTGTGACCCTATTTTCCCGCTCGTATACGACAGCCAAACCATATGACGAGACTCACTACGCTCAATCTTGCACGTTCCTGCAAGTTCGTGTAGTACTTGGCATCATGCTCTAGACCACCTGGATATAAGGAATGGTTTACTGTAAGTTGAAACAGATGTTGCACTTGAAATGGCGATCATTGACCACCGCAACAATCTCAAACCAATATGAAGCACAGCTGGACCTTTGTACTAAGTACTTCAATGAAGTGGGTTAGCCTTAACTTTGTCACGAACGCGAAGTGTCACGCGAGACCAAACTCCGCTCAAGGTTTCAAAGCTTCACGCGCACGTCTATTAGCTGTTGGACGTACAAATCTGTTTATTCACGCGCCCAAATTCAAAGAAAATGGGAAGCGTATCGCGATCAGTGAGTTCACAATATTATGGTTTCATGCTTCAACTTAAGTTAACCCCATGATGAGCAGTCAGTGGCACCTCGTCCACTCGTCAAAATAGAACCTACTGAAGAACTATCATTCTCTGACTCAGGACACGACGATACACCACTCTCAGGCTCACTGGTAGCTTCTAATATCAAAGTGGAGTCTGTGATCGAGCCGACATTATATCACCTCTATGAGTTTGCCGATGAAATTACATATACCCCTGAACACGCACTTCATGAAGGACTTGGGATGGTGAAGACACTAAAAATTGGTATTGAAAAACTTGAACTTGGTAGTAGCAAGCTCCGTAAGGATGTTTGGCTTCGTGAAATAGACAGGTATGTTATCCTGTACCTCGTGTGAGGTCAGAAATGAAAACCATCACAGTCTCCTCAATCAAGTTAGTCCAACTATGATGATAGCTGTCTGTGGTGGTGCGTGTTCATTTCTTCCAACATGTGTTTTGACTGAAGCCTGTATCCTGTAGCAACTGGAGCTGGGAAATCATCAACCATAAACGCACTGTTAGATGGTAAGTGGTCACTTTGGCTCGGAATGGTGTATGCCCCTCTCATATCTATTTTGATCTTTTTCTGTAGTCGACGTTGTTCCCACGAGCGGCATGAGAGGTAAAGTTGAGTTCTTTGACTACGTAAGATTTTGATCACTAGCAATTTGCAGCCTGTACCTCAGTGGTCACTCAGATTTCATATCACACTGCACCCACAATCAATGCAGATGTCTTATTCCTTTCTGAGGCCGAATGGAGAGAGGAGCTCATTGCTCTACTCAATGACATTAAGGCCGAAGGTAACGATCTAAAACGTACTACTGACCTACATGGTGATTCAGAGGTTGCATGGTACAAGGTAAGGGTTACGAGGTTTTTTGGTGTCTTAGTATATCATTCGTGCTCAGGTTCACGCTGTATACCCATCAATAACTCTACCTCAACTTGTTGATATGACCGCTGATCAGATATTGGCCTACAATACAAGTGCACATCTCTAAGCTTGTCACTATAGATTATGCTGACTTGGATCCTCTGTGCAGATATTGTCCGCATCTTGGGCACTACAAGGAAGATATCAGCGGACGATTCAAGTAGCTTTGCCCAAAAAATTGCGAGATATGTTGATTCTTCTACAGGCCAGAAACGACGGGGTAAAAAGAACAAACCTCGGAAGAGTAAAAAGACCAGTGCTTCTGATAACTTAGTCATCAGCGCCGAGGAAAAGGAAGACCACGACACAGCTCTATGGCCTCTGATTCGTCAAGTGAATATACAGTGCAATGCCCGGGCTCTTTCCACCGGTGCTATCTTAGTTGATTTACCTGGTGTCGCCGATGTTAATCCTGCAAGGAATCGCATCGCAAAGGACTACATGAAGAAGTGCAACTGTATCTGGATTCTTGCACCTATCACCCGTGCAGTGGATGACAAGACCGCTCGAGGTATCTGTTTCAACTCCACACCTGTGCCACAATTCCAATATTTTCGAAAATAGATCTTCTCGGTGAAGCTTTCAGAACACAGCTGATGAGTATGTCTTCTTCACCCCCTTGGGAATAGGCTAACAATCATCCTCAGTGGGTAAGTTCTTTCTAGTACGATTGCTCTAAGATAGCTAAATGCAGGCTATTGTCATTCATTGTTTAGACGGCAAGTGAGTGATCTATTCTTCACTCGTGCGATGAATTTCTTATTTGTTGGTTAGCTATGATGCCCATACCATCACTTTCATCGGTTTGTTAGAGCGCATCTGATCGAATTCTTGCTAAAACTATATACCTCAGCTACCAAGTGTGACGATATATCTTGTTCTGAGGTCATCACTACCTTGGATCTCAAGGACGACCCTGCGCTAGAGAAAATCAACAAATGCATCATTTCATGCAAGAAGGAAACATCCGAGCTCAAACTAAAAAAGGCTGACACAGAGTCACTGACCGAAGGTATGAATGTTTTGTTCCTGTGACTCGGATAATGTACTTATGTGAATTTCATAGTCATCCTCAGGCGGCTCAAACGACTCCAAGCCGTCATACAGCAATGCCAGGAAGGCAAGACGGCACTCGCGAACGGTACAATGCTTATGCCACAGTTTACTGCAACAGTACATCAGGCGACCCAGAGCATGGGCAAGAAGCGAAAGAATACTCACAGCAAGGAATCTGGGCCGGCTAAGCGTCTAAAGAGCAGCACCTTTGGACATGACTCAGAAGATGATACTAGTGATAGCGACATGTATGTCGATGACACGTGTGGAGGGCAGAAATCAGTTGAAGAGGAGCAGGAAAAGGAGGACACACAGCATGACGACGGCATCAAAGATGAGCCAGAAGAGGTTACAGTCAAGGTTCTCGAAGCGAAGATCGACGATGCCCAGAAATCTATCAAAGCTGCATGGGAAGAACTCGACGACGCACGGAAGGCACAGATAAACATCAAGGGTGCCCTTGATGACCTCATGAGGAAAGAGATGGAAGCGCGGCGTGACAAGAGTACATTTTGTTCTCTAAAGCGTTCGGAGGTTTGTCTTGTGACTCTTGTCGTTATTCATTCTATTTCTGACGGCAACAACTTGAAGTTTTCCCGCAATGCTTTAAAGGAAGATTTCCGTGTCGGGCTGAAACTTAATGATGGTTTGTAATGACTTGCCGTCTTTGCAGTATCAGCTAAGTTAGTTCACATGATACAGATGCCACTGCCGAGGAGCGAGACCCAGAGGCTTTTGATCCAACTCAGAATCTGCGCAGTAAGTTTCATACTAATTCAACAAAAATATGTTGCTAAATTTTTTACTTAGATTATGACGAGGTTGACCTTGAAGTGTTCACTTGCTCGTCCCGTGATTATGTCCGGATAACAGGACGAATGGAACTTGACGAAGACCCATCATGTTTCTCCAACATTGCCGACACCGGGGTTCCCGCTCTACAGAAATGGTGCCACCGGTTAGCCGTTGGTAATCAACATCGTGCTGCGAAACAATACCATCTGCAATTAAAAATGTTTGCAAACTCGGTGCGGGTGTATACTGATGGTATCAGTGATGCGATTGTTGCAGACAGCAAAGCCCTTCGTGAAAAATGGGAATCAGTAGAGGGTGGTCAGGGTCCGATACTGTATGATGTGGGGATGAAGGCTAATCACTTTGACATTCCAGGCCTGAAGGGATTCAATCCCACAATGAACAATAGCTCGCGCTTAAAAGTGGATCCTTATGGTGAACCTACAGGAATCACACCTCGGCTAGTGAAAGTAAGGTCGTTTGCATTGACTTTTGCTCTCTGTACAGCTCACATTTCATTGTAGGATTTTGGTGCATGTGTCGAAAGATGTGTCTCAGACTTGCAGGGTCTGTTCCATGATGGCCTTGAAGACAAGTGCCGAGTGGGTGCAGTCAAAGTGAATACTATTGCATTGTATCAGCTCATCATCTGATGACATTCCACAGGCTGCGCAAGGTGCAGTTCAATGTGTCGACAAGTTTGCAGAGTCCATGTATTGGAATACCTATCGAGCCAGTGAGTGTTCCAGTCCGCACCCTCGCCCTCCCTGATTTTGCCCAATATCAGCACTTCGTCGCCACGGGTCTTGGCATCGTGACCTCAATGTTGAGCTTCTGACGCCATTCACTCGGAATATTGCTTCTTCTTGGTCAACGATCTTCGAGTCTGATCTGTTCACCCCATTATCATCCGCCGTCACGGAATGCGTCAAGAAGCTGCTCGCAGATGTAGAGGTGAGCGCAGTGGCTGAATTAAAAGAACGCGCATGCGCACGAAGTTCCGATTCCCAAGAAGAGGTACACCTCACATTAGGGAAAATCATCGAAGTCGTAGAAGGAGCGCTTGTACGGGAGCAGAAGGAGATATCTCGTTGTCTTGCTCCTCATGTCCAAACCGAACTGGTAGACGGCTACAATCGAGCCACCAGACAGCGAGGTAAAGGAAGTGTCGCGCGACAGAAGGTATATATGTTAGTCGTATCATTTTAGGACCTCTTCTGACATGTTGCAGACTGTGTTCCGTGACTACGTTAACACACATAGGCATGTCGTTTTTGATGGTGGAGCAGAGGTGCTTCTGGGTCGCTTGTCGGCTGCAGCTGAGGCCGTCGGGAAGGCTCTCAACGAGTCACTCCGGGAACTTGCTGAGAAGGTCAGTCCCTTCGATTTCATCTCGGTGAAAGTGGTCTTCATCCTGTCTTGCAGGTTGAAGTGTCAATTAGTGTGCTTTGGGAAGGCATCCCAGATGATCTCCGTGTGCGATCGCAGATTATCCAAACAGTGTCTCAGATGCTGGCTCAGTTGGATATGTGGTCACAGGCAGCAGAGAAGGTGTCTTTAGCCTCCTAGATGGATTATCGTCGTCACCTCGTTTCCTCAATTTCTTTCAGCATTACCATCGGCGTCTTCTATGTATCCTTTGCAGCACTTTAGCAGTTGTGTCGGAGCTCCAGTCATCGTGCTTTCAACTTTGGTCTCGTACTCATCATACCCGAGGAGCTATCACTGTCTACCCATTACTTTCCATTCAGTAAACTATTAAAGATGATAATACACAGGTAGATGAGCTTCATCCCCGGCGAGACTGCGCTCAGTGACGTAATTGTATCATCTTCATGCAACTAAGCTGGGTGGGTACAGGTAGGCCTCTGAAAATTTTGACATCCGCGGGTTGGGTGTGGGTATAATCCGGGTCGATCGACCCATGTCAACCCCACAGTGTACCGTGCGCAAAGACTCGAATGCTATTATCTCAGCAAAGGATAGAGGACAACATATTGAATATTAATGCACAAAAAAATCCGCTATGGCACTAGACGCAAACTCACAGAATTTCCTTTTACAAGACGAGCCGCGCAGCGGCAAGCACTTATTAACACAAATAGGTAGTTCTACGAAGGAAAAAATACACTATCTCTGCATGACAAGTGTCCATAGATGACTCGGAGGTGGACAATGATTCTACTGTTATTAACAACCATGAATTCCTCCATGGTGTAGTAGTAAGCGGATGTAATCGTATTGGGGCTATCGTGACTTGGTGCTTCTGAAGGGGTTGAGGACTATCATACTTTCATAATGGTGAGAAGAAGGGAAAAATCAGCATGCCAAAGAACTATTCGTGCGCATACGTTCGCCGGCGAAGTATATCCACACTGGAAAGGGTATGCCAATGACTATGGCAATGCCTGCAAGCAAGGAATTGCCTCCACCATAGCCGAGTGCCGCAAACATCTGTTCTCCAAACAAAGGGAATACGAAACCAAGAAGTGAACGGAGCGTCTGATGATGTATTTAGTGGACGCCAACGAGATTAGAGGCAATGTAAGAAAGACTAACAGACGCGGCTGCAGTAGCGCTTGCAGCATAGGTGAACGTATCCACGAGATAAAGTTGAATAGGGAGGCTTCATGTCAAGAGATTAGACGTGAAAGAGACTGATGCACCGGAGCACACCCACAAACTTGTCATCAACCCGAATCCAAAGATAGCGGTACCAATGATGGGCATCATGAATTGGGCTTCGGCTTGGGCAGACCAGCCATACCAACTAACATATGTCAGACCCCATAGGAGCAGGGATAAATGCGTCTATCTCACAATAGTCCCACTGGGACAAACAACGAGCCGAATATCAGAGCAGGTATGCGCATCTCGGGTTTACCCTGCCCTCCATTTTTGGCAGCAAGCTAGGCATAATAACCAACGCGTGAGTTGGCACGTTCAAGGTAGAAGGCAAGTTGACATACGTATATGTAGATCTTTGCTGAAACTCTGGCGCCGAACAAAGAGGCGGCTAGAAATCCAACGCCTGTTCCGAGGTACGTCAGACCTGCAATTCCAGTGCTGAAGTGGTACACCTTCGAAAAGAGGTCTGAGAAAAATTTGTTAATGACGATCCCTGTAGGCAGGTACGATCTTACCGGGGAAAGTAGAAAACATCAAGTAGTAGATACCTGACAAATGATCTCAATTCATGTTCAATATAACTTAATGCGGTACTGACCGTATAACCTGGATAGATGACATCAGTGAGCCGCGTGTGCATGACATCAGATTTAAACTTACAGAGCCATATACAAGCTCAGGATAAAACATATAAAACTCCGGGTCAACAGTATGACTGGTCGCTTGAGGTTGAGCCATAAGTAGGCCCATTTGCTCATCTCGCCTTGGAGGGTAGAATGTCCCACGGTTGTCTTTTCGGGATCCAGAGCCATGTTATCCAGACGAAGCCTGATAAGTGGTGCATAGGTTTCTCTCAAGAGAGGAATACCGATCACCGCGGCAATGCCGGATATCGCGATAACGACATAGAAGACATATTGTACACCAACTGATTCTGCGATGAAACCTCCCATAACGGGACCGACAGCAGGGCCTTGCAGGATGCGTAAACGTCATGCAATATAAAACCGTATACGACCCACCTATCAAGGGTCCGATGCTGTACAGTGCGACAGCTGATGCTCGATCACGTTCCGCAAAGAGGTCGCTGACGACGCCTCCGCCGCATGCTATGGGTGGACTGCCCGCTAATCCAGCTTTGCAGAGAATGAGAAAAGATGGAGCTTAAAATGTTCTGAGACGTACCTAGAAAGCGGAAAACAATGAAGGATACAGTGTTGGGTGACAAGGCACAACCGAGATTGAAGAAGATAAAGAAAAGGTTTCCTAGGTGGAGTACCTTGAACCCATTCAGGTAAATGCCGGTCTCATTGATGGATGCACATGACGCACCCATACACGGCCATACACTTCAGACAAGGGTGCTGCAAATAAAGGGCCAATGGCAAATGACAGAAGGAAGATACTGAGAGTCAACGCTATGACTGTTGGATCGGTTATATCAAATTTGATGGCGATATCGAGTAGACCGGGTGCCATAATAGAACTTGCTAAGGGCGTAACAAACGTGTACAGTGCGACCTAATACTGACATAAGTCATCGTAAGCTGAACTCGTGGATGGAAAAACTGACAAGGGTAGTGGTTGTCCATTTTTTTGCGGGAGACCAATTCCTGGGGTTCGCAGGGTGGTGTTCCCAATCGTAGTCTTTGTCGTGAGTGTCCTCGACGTCGGTAGACTTGACTTGTTCAGTTTTCATGGCATGAATATCATCCGAATGATCTCGGTGAGCAAAAGAAACGGTGGTTGGAGAGCTCGACATGGACCAGCGTTACACCGGGTGGCAGGTAGGGAAAGACATGTCCTGGCAAGACTCTTAAATAGCAGACGATAACCTGACTGAGCAAGTATTACTATTGCGCTTTACCGCTGAACATTTACGTTGGAATTGCTGACAGGTGAGATCTATCTGGCCCGAGCCGAATTTGAGTCATGGGCCTGCCGCCTGCCTGAGGATGCCTGATCGGCTCTCTCATATTGGTAGCTATGGAAGGCATGGTACCAGGATATTGGTAGCTATACGGAGAGCACGCAGCTACACAGCCAGTCTCCTGTCCAAGGGTCTGGCGAACGAGGCCTGAGTATGCATCTATGGCTAGGAGAGTGTACTTACTTATAGTCACCCCCTAGATCGCGTATCGTGGGTGCACCAGTACTATGTAGTGGGTGGCAGCCATTTCACAAGTGACATTAGTCATGCGTCAGCGATTCAGACAAACTGGAGCATCGGCCTCCGCGTTCAACATAACTAAATGGGGAAAACGGCCCGAAATCACGCGAGCCAAGCAAACTCAGAGGTAGATAAAACAAGTAGGGAATTATTTGAAGACAAGCAAAAAAAAGACCAAGTCGCACTATGTAACTATACTACAAAGCATGTCCATACTCATGTGACCCTTGTGCACCACCATACCCTTGATAATGGTATCCATCCCCGTTCGTTGCCGTATAGTCATAATTATGTGCGTGCGTATACTGCTGGCTAGGATAGTCCTGCACATCGTAAGCCTGCCCGCTCGCACCATTATATGGCAAACGTGCTCCTGCATTTGCTCTCCCTTGGTACACATCATGTGCGTCTGCAACATATCGCCCTCCCACCCCAGAGCTCCCATATGAATCGTACGGCCCTTGATCATCAGTTTGGTATGCAAGAGTAACACCTTCCTGAAGATGAACCGTGCTGCCGTAGTCTTCTTCGTACGTTTGGTGCTGTGGCTCGTAGCCCCCCGTAGACGAACTATATTGGTTGAACGTCCCCGCAGTCTGGTGTGAATACCCAGCGTTGTAAGCCGGCATTGGAGGATACTCGGTATAGTCAGCACTCGCGGGATTTGTGTGATAACTTGGTGCTATGCTTTTTTGGTCAAAGTAGTAATCCTGGTTGTAGGCACCACCTGGCCCACGCTTGGAGATAGATCCAGCGTCGTCGTCATCGTCAACCGAGAGGTTTGGAAGAGTCGGCTGTGGTAAAGGTTTCCCGACCATCTCGCCCTTCTTGTTTTTCAAGTGGGAGAAGTCACCCATGGCCTCCTTCTTCGCTAGCGCAGCAGCCCTTGCGAGTCGCTCCTTATTTCTACGCTTGATGACCTCTGCAATTCGCTATCATCATTCAATGAGCCATACGTAACCAAAACTCGAAGTGATGGATGCTACCTTGTCGACCTTGTGGCATACGTACTCCTATATAACCCATGAGTGGATGTGCTTGGCAGAGGGAAATATAACTGACCTTGAGGTTCCCTTGAATGTAGCACAACAAAGGAATATAGAATATGCCAGCCATAATCAACAGTAAGAGCGAGCCAGCGAAAATGACGAAGGTGAAGAACGTGGAGACAGTCAGGGCGGAGGTTGACAGACTGTTTCCTGCGAAGTACTTGCTGATGTCGTACCAAGATCCCTTGTCGTTCTTCGCCAGGTAGATACTATAGAGTGTCAAAGCGTTGATCGTTTGTCTTGGTCCATCAGACAGTAACAGGCGCTTCCAACCTGATATCGGTTCAGATATATTTGTTCAAGAAAGACGGAGAGACTTACTCTTGAACGTAAAGAAGATGAAGAACGCAAAGTCATCTTTCTTCTTCGTGGAATTACTGATATGATCAAAGAAGCAGAAGTGATCATACGAGCCTTGCGCAGTTTATGAGCTTTAGATGATGCCATAAACAAAGGGATCACATACGGAGGGAGTAATAGTTGTTAGCCATCACGTTCGTGAATGCGTAAGAGATATCACGACTGGCGATAATTTTCTTTGATTTCCGGGCTTCGTACGCCAGCTGCGGATGATCAGATATACGTTCTCTTGCCTAGGACAGCATCCTACCAGGAGAAAGCCAAAAATAATACATCCTACGAACAGCCATTTCCCAACATTAAATGGGATATAAAAACAACCATCTTGATGCTGACAGTTGTTAAAGATCTGGTTGGACCATGTTGAAGTTGTCAACATGGTCGTAGCTGTGAAGATATCGGAAAGGTAGACCAGAAATGATTTGAGGATGATGATATAAAGCCAGAGATATCTTTGAGGAAACATCAATAAGCGGTCCAATTTTGAAATGATTGGAACCAGTGAATGAACAGCCGCCATCACACTGTACCACGCAAGCATCCACAGCCTGCGCGTTCCACAGGTCCGTACGAGTTACTCACTTTAGGCGCATGAGGAACCCGTTATCGGTAAACTCACGGGTGTCGATGAAGTCGAACTAAGGTGGTAAACAGCTTATTGACATGCAAGAAAACCTAGGATAGATGAGTGGCTCACCTTATGATCTGGAACAATTTCTCGTTTCCATGCTGGTCCACCGCTCATCGTGTTGAGAGATAATAGTGGGGATCAACGAGCAAGTTAGACAATAAGAAGGACAAGGGGGATTTGGTGGATATATGAATGAGCGTAGAGCGAGCCAGCCGCATGTAGAACCTGACCAGGTTCTGAGACAATGAGAGGCGTTAAAAGAAGGTCTAATCCGGCAAAAATCAAACCAAAGAGTGCTCTGGGTAAACTGTGAGGATGGACAGTACTAGCGCAGAAACTGTGGATGGAGGATGATGAAGATGATAAAGAACGAGCCGTGAAACTTGAAAACAACGGTTGCTCTGGCTCAAAAGCTATGTGACTAGTCCTATTTCGATTATATCTTTTTTTGTCCGCCACACGGTTACAATAAACATTATTGACCACTAACCATCAGGAAGCACAGCAATGACTACAGTACAAAAGATCAAAGTGTGCATCACTGTTTATCCTTGCTACTTCTGATTAACGAGGGTGTCTATTATTCAGGAAATCGAAGATGAAATGGCTAGTCTTATCTTTTGGGATGACATGAACCTCTACTAACTTTCCTAACAGGCCAAAAGTGTGTTTTTTATCCTTTATGAAGTAGGCTTATCAGCCGACGAACTTCGTGCTTGTAGCCCAAAAGAATAAGGCCACGAGCTACCATCTGGGTCAACTCAAGGCTAAGCTTGCAAAACTACGACGCGAGCTTATATCGCCCTCTGGAGGAGGAGGCGGAGGCGGACCCGGTATCGGTTTTGATGTCGCTAGGACTGGTGTAGCATCTGTCGGTTTCGTTGGATTTCCGTCAGTAGGAAAGGCGAGTTCTTTGCGTTTGATTCTCACTCGCCAGTCATCATCAACGAACATCTAGTCCACTCTTATGTCGAAGCTCACGGGAACGCACTCGGAAGTCTCGGAGATTGATTTCACAACATTAACGACAGTCCCTGGTACTTTGAAAGTCCACGGCGCACCTATACAAATCCTTGATTTGCGTGCGTACGTATCTTTTCTTTGGTAATCATACCCTTATTCTTGTCTCAGCTGGAATTATCGAGGGAGCAAATGATGGTAGAGGTAGAGGTCGACAAGGTAAGTACAGCTTTTCTGGGCTTGCAGCAAGCTCACTCACTTTATCATGCAGTCATTGCCGGTATGACCTCCAAGTTTAACGCATGCGAAAGCCGAGGTTGAGAGCAATGCATACCCCAGTCGCTCGAACATGCAACCTTATTTTTATTGTTTTGGATGTCCTCAAGCCGTTAGGAGACAAAAAGATCATCGAGAGCGAGTTAGAGGGCTTTGGTATTCGCTTGAATAAAAAGCCCCCAGCCATTTTGGTTCGCAAGAAGGACAAGGGCGGCATCGCGATCACCAATACTGTCCCGCTGACGAATATAGATCAAGAAGAGATCAAGGCAGTTCTCAGCGAGTACAAGCTCAGCAATGTGGACGTTACTATTCGGCAGCCTAACATGACGGCGGACGACCTGGTGGACGTCATTGAAGGGAACAGGTGTGTTAATTCATGAGAAACCTGCATAATTGGATGTTTATACCTCGCAGAGTCTATATTCCTGCACTTTATGTACGTGTTGACTAACATGAATGGCATTTCACCCTGTGCTAATTCCTTACGTTTCAAATTTTAGGTCTTGAATAAGGTTGTTTATCTCTTGGTTGAAATTATATGCCACTCACGTTGGTTGTGTATGCAGATCGATGCCATCTCGATAGAGGAATTAGATCTTCTGTTCGTTGCTTTTTGTCTTCCATGAAGAATACCACTTACTGGTGTTCAGGTACAAAATTCCTCACAGCGTTCCAGTCTCATCGAGAGAATGGCTCAATATCGACGAACTCACAGAGAAAATGTGGGAAGCTCTCGAGCTTGTCCGCGTTTACACCAAACCTCGTGGACAATCACCTGACTACTCCGCTCCAGTCGTCCTTCGTAGAGGGAGATGTAGTGTGGAGGATTTTTGTAATGCTATCCACAAGGAAATTGCCAAGCAAATGAAATAGTGAGTGTAAACGCTGAGATTGCCTTACTAATTCGCGGAGCTGATTGCATGATCAGTGCCGTTGTATGGGGTGCAAGTGCCAAGCATTCTCGAGGTCAAAAGGTTGGCTTGGACCACGTCTTGGAAGACGAGGATGGTAAGAATCTTATTTTTTCCACGCGTACAATCTCAAGCGGTCTCTCAGTCGTTCATATCGCAAAAAATTAGCCGACATGATAGATGTACGGCTCACCCCGCGCAACTCATTGTATCTACTAGTACTGCTGTATAATGTATAGAGTACTGAGCCGGATAAATGACCATATCAGTCCCACCGCGCAGTAAACACTTGTCGCCATCAGGGGCAAAAATTCAGTGTCTGGATTCCCGCCAGTCATGAGAGGGAACAGGGTGACGAAAGCTTGGAGAAATGCAAAACCATAAAGATATGCATTCTCAAAGCTCTCCAACAGTACCCAGGGCAGTGATGAAGGAAATCTGTTGGAAGTTTTAATAGCAAGAAACATCTCTGTGTCAGTGCTCACTCGTAAAGCTGCTTGTGGAGGGGGTATAATATCATCCCTCCCCATATGAAGGAATACACAATTTTTAGCAGAGTCTCTTCGGTTTTGTTAATGATACCCAAGACGAGCTGACATTACGGGAACGCACCTGCTGGCGTAAAGATCAAGGGGAAGAGGGAGAAGATACCCGCGACACTTGCGATAACGAAGGTCTTGTAATACGCATAGTTCTCCGAGGCCAGAAGCCTGCAACACTGATTACTAGATTAAAAGGAGTAATGAAAACCACGCACGTGAGAGGCACTAATACGAGCAGAATGGCTTTCTCATGCACATGCCACCCGAACATGTATGAAGCGTAACCACAAAGCGTCAAGGCAGCCACAAACGACTTGTAAGTTGGCGCGCTCCATAGCTTAATGAGATAAACCTGAGCTGCAATATCAGAGAGATCGGCCGGTTATGCAATTTTTCGCACCATCTGGAATATTATTGTGACGATAAACGTGTGGATAGGCTTGATATTTGGAATCACCGCAAAGACCGTATCGCCTACAAGGCCGCGAGACGTCGATGCAATACCAGATTCATTCACTACGAGTTCCACACCTAGATGTTTTACCACTGAGGGCCAATGTGAGCTCGGTAGTGGAAGGGTAGTCAATGAACTACAAACGTTGCAAAAGGACACGGTCTGCGGCAGTGACCAAGGCCCACGCATTTGGTGCCCAGTAAGCGTGATTCAGTCCACGTGTAAAAGGAAACAAGCGAGAAAGGAGTTGCGGGAGTTGGCCCATCAATACGAATGGTCCTAGAGAGGCTAGGAACACAAGCAGGACAGAGTTCGCTAATGAGATAAAGCGTGTGGGAATAATCGCCCCGGCGGGAGACATGCAATAAGACCGCAGAAGGTAAATAAAGTATGCAGGCTGTAGAGGTGACCCAGTGAGCCAAGGACCACGAATAGTGATGCGATCATACCGCCAGATACATGTAGATGTGTTTGAAATTCAAAAGAACGGCAAAAAGTATGCCGCTCGCCAGTTTTCTACCCTATGAATGTGATAAGACGCTTTGCTCAAGTAAGAACCACACTCTTACTTCGCAAGCCATTAAGATCGACCATAGCAATATTCCAAACATAAACCCATTGTATTGGAAGTGTATGTGGTCAATCATAAGGAACCCTGGGTGAAGAAACAAGGACGCAGAGAGAATTCGTTGACGAGAGGGATCAACAGAAACACGGATGAACCTCCCTCAAGAATTAGCGCTTCACAGATATGAATAAATAGAAAATCACCTCAGAAGTGCTGCACCAAGGACAAGCTCAGAGATAATGACGGTTAGACGTTGATACGCAATGACTGTCCATGCATCATATTGCAGATTTTGGAGGTCAACTATCTTGGGATCAATGAATGAAGCGGGTATGGACATCAAGCTCTCGAAATATGCAAAGAATGGAGGGTAATCCAGCGCTAGTCGACGAGATGAGACAGTGTGATACAGAAACTTTCAAAAGGGCTTACTCCACTCAGAAGTTGTCTTCAACGCCGCGTTAAAATAAGCCTAGTAATGGAATCTAGAGAGCTTCAGGACGCACATCGTAATACCATTGAGAAATAGGAAGTGAATGTGTTATGGCCAGCCAGTTTCGGTGGACCTCGAAATCCGTAGAGCGACTTCACGGATAAGTAAGCATGCGGATACATATTTAAGGAGGACTTACTATGCTGGGAACAGGAGAAACTTGAATGCCATGGAGAGAAGTAAAACATCGACTTCGGATTTTGATACATCACCCAGAAAGTTCAGCCACGTCCATGCTGAGGTAGATTTTGGTGCATGCGGCTTCTGGGAGTCATCGAGTTGGTCAGTAGGTGAACTATGGGACTGTTTGACTGTGTTCATCGAAGTGTATAACCAACCTCTTAAAGTCAGGCGGCCATAGCCGTCACTTCAAGGTGTAACGTATTATGTCATCTACTATCCAAGTCGTTTATGGACACGATGCCGAGCCAAACGGTTTCCAATATCAATTCGTCACAGCCCTCCGGGCAACCCAGCACCCTTCTTGATTCTGGCCAGGCGGCTGGTACACTTTTAGATAGCAGCCAGCCCCCACTTTTATGTAGATTAGACCTACAGTTTCCATATATTTCAGTCCATGCCCTCCGATCATTGTTGTCGCATCTTTGTCCATTTTCAATCCAGCACGCACGACTTCCCGTGCTGACGCTGAGCTCTCTGTTCATACTTCTGAGGTATTACTGCGCTCATGCTGAGGTTTGTAAGTCACGCGTTTTATTATAGCACGATCTGTTTAGACAGTCTTTGTTTTACACAGCTTTTTTTTCCAGACTTTCAATCGCTTCTTCGCATCTTTCTCGTTCAACGTCATGCCTACTTCAAGCACATACAAACATCATCGACATTGTCTCGTCTTTGTTTCCGACTGCGCATTCATATCCTCCAAGGCACCACACCATGACTGGCATGGTTTGGCACACTATTGTTGTCTCCCCCAAGGTCTTCGTTGGGCTGTAGTTCCATTGCATCACTTCGTCGTCTACCGTGCTCCTCAATTTGTGTGGGCAATACCCGCCTTGGTTATCAGTGTTGTCCTCGCAGTTATGTTCACCCAACTGTAAGGGATCTGCTCTGATCTTGAATCCTCGACCGACATATTTCATCAGGCCTTCTACTGTGTGCAGTGTACTCTTTCCTTCCAGATATAGACGTGGATTGACGAAACCCTTCTTCTCTGTCGTCCACCGTGGGTACAGGCACACGAGGGAGTCTGCTGTGATATAGTTCATCACCGAAGTGGTGTGGAATTGGAGTATGGGCGCGACTGCCGCAGTCCAGTGAGTGACAATGACATCCACTTTTTTCTCTCCTTTCTCGAGTTTGAAAATTTTGGCCATTGCGCTGTCGTTATATTCCTGCTTCAGCACTACGTCACCTGCACCTGCATATCCCTCTTTCTCTTTCAAGTGCTTTAGGACCTCTTCCTCAAAAGCCTCTGTGACGTAGACGTCCATGTCTCTTGCTCTCAATTCTTCAGCCTCGGGGCGTATCAGACTGAGAGCACTTGATCCTGAAACCACTGATCCAGTGTCTTCCATCATGGAAAGTAGACCGTCGACATCGTCGACGAAGCTCCTGAACAACTTGACGCGCCGTTTTGCAATATAGTCCTTGATTCCCTCTTTGTTTTCATTCCTAGTTTCTGCCAATGTAATGAGATCTGACAGCCCCAAATGCTCTAGGATAATCCTTTGGATTTCAGGACATAGTAAACTGATGTAGCCGTTTCCGTGGTTCATGGTCAAGTTGCTTGTGAATGTCCCGGTTGAAGGACTTCAGTTGTCTATGTGCTCCTATTCCCTGAGTTTTAATTACAGCCGCTATTTGTCATTCGATCCCATTTCCTCATGGTAGATCATGGCCTCGCCACTTTCCTGCTCAGTTCAACACTTTCATACGAGCTGGTTGGCTGTCGAAGACGATCCCCAGTTCTCGTCTTTGGTGCCTGGCACTCTGTTTTTCACCCTTATTGTGAGCTGTCAGTATGGTGCAGTCGAGTCCTGATTTATCTACTTACATGTGCACCGCTTTGATGACCTCCATGTAGTCCTCTGTCGTCAAGTCGACTAGTTCTTTGCTGTCGACCAGTTTGAATGTGAGATATGAGCATTTGGGTGAGCCGTGTTCTCGGCCGTCATACAACACGATGATGTTGAACAGCACTCCCACACCACTTTCCTCCGTCGATCTGAACCTCACCCTAGATTCTTTCATTGTGGCCTCGTCCTCGAAATAGATTCTTGCAGCGTCCAACAGGTTTTCGCGATTCAATGGATTTTGGACTTTCAGGGGCCTGAACCCGTTATATGGTTTGGAGGAGATTAAGCAGCTATCAATGGTAATTTCTTTAGTCATTTTGGTGAGAGTTATGTGGTGCCGTTCCCCCTCTATTTTCTATCATCTTATATAGTCCCATGCATTCTCCTATCCATGTATGGCATCTTGTTGTTTACCGTATGATTTCTATTTGCTTTCCAACACCATTTGTCCCTTGGATGTCCATTCATATGTCGGCTGCATGTGGTTCCCTCTTGAGCTTCCGTTATCCTGGTGGTCAGTCATCTGTTATGTTGTCTGTATGGTCTTTGACGTCATCGCTTGATTCCACGCCATTGGCGATATCTGTTTTGTGTGTGCATGTTTGGTTTTTCTTCGTGCTTATGACGACCATGTCTTGCCAGCTGGCAACCACTGAGGTAGATGTCTACGCTACTGAGAACCAGATGTTTACACATCAGCCTGTGAGTCAACGTCTTTTCATGCCCTTCTTCTTCATTCAAATTTTTTTAGGGCGGCCGTACCTATCATCAGGCGCTGTTTTATCCTGCAGGATACAGTGAGGCAATTTTGACATATGTGCCTCAAGATGCTGATGGTTTTCTTCGTGCTCATATGTGGATCGCTGGCGGCCATCTGTCAGCATCGACAATTTCGATTCCTTCTCTTCTCGTCTTTCATGGCTTTCCTGATTGTCTGTCAAGCACTTTCCCTCATGCATATAGCGTTGTTTACCTGCAACAACATTCGTCCCTCCCCGAGAATCAAGCCATCGCTCAGTGTCATGCCGTTGGTTCTTCAGTCCGTTGGTTTGGCGATGTCCTTGTTGTCAAGCACATAGGCCATAATCTGCAGACGTATCAGTCTATGCGATATGAAGACAAAGCCCTTCTTGATGCCATTCTGTCTAGGCAAGATCTTCCTTTCCTTCGTCTTTGGTTGGGTGATTGACATTTGCGCATGCAGTGTATTACATTCTTGGTCTCCTGCATGATTTGTCCGCCTTACTACTTCTTTATGTAATTACAGTCTCTCCATGTATCTTAACAGCCGCCTCTCATTTGCCTCCTTCATAGGGTCAATTCTACTCTTCATGTACCACCATAGTGTCTTCCCCAATTCCTCTGGATCTACGTCCCATTCTGCCGACTGTGGATTGAAATCTTCTCCATTTCTGACAATGAGGAGTTCCCCTCGCGGACAGTTCTTTCTGCCGAAGATTTCCAGCATGACAGGATGATATGGGCGGTTGTCATCTATCCTCATCGTGTGATAGATCTGGTAGTACCACGATGTGATCGAGATGTGCCGTGGAAATAATATCAACGGCTCTGTGGGTTGTCCTGCAGGCAGCATTCTCTCCATCCTTCGTAATGCTTCTATGTCTGAATGAGGGCGCTCTTGGGTGACTGGGTTGAGATGATTCAGGAGTGACCTCAACCCCTCTTTTACATCGTAGGAGAGGCTTATCTCACAGCCGATTTTGATTGCAACACATGGTAATTGTTCTTGACGCCGGTTTTTCTCTGACCGCAGCATTTTGACCCTCTGTGAGATAAGTTTAGCGCCACTGCAGCTCTAGCCTATAATGTTTACCTTTGCACTGATGTACCAAGTAGCATGTTGTCGTGTCAGCTCTTCGCACACCTCATGATTTGTAAGGCTCTTCTCGTTGTCGAGTGATTTTATTGCCTCGACAAGTTCGTGTGTTGTCGGCGAACACCTGTTGTTGACTTGGCTTCCGTCAGATGGTCTTTGGTCCATGTTGATTGGATCAGGGGTTGATTAACGACTGTTAGAATGAGACATATATTCATCTTTTTAGCAGGTCATGTGACCCACAGGCGACAGTCTACTACGTTACATTTAGATAGCCAACCCATCAATTTTACTCATTCCTTCAGCTTCTGCTTCGGGAGCAGGCCCTATGTTGAGAAGTGAAATCGCAAGCATCTCGTACTGCGCTCGTGACTGCCATTTGTTGTCTTCTCCTCTCCTCGAATACCGCGTCATCTTCATCTCCAACAGAACAAGGTCTCCCGCTTTCAAATCTCCCAGACTCCACAGTGGTCGTTCGTCATAAGTTTTGAGGGATCCTTCACCTCTTGCGTCATAGACAGAGTCGAAGAGGATCGCCTGCAAGGAGCGTGTCAGGATGGATCAATATTGTCATTATCTATTACCTCTGTTTGTATGTCATCGTTCCTAGCATTCTGCCATTTGATGGCCCTGATGTTGTGCGTCGTCTGTTGGTTGACAGCTAGGCCAGAGTGAGCGACATATGCAAAGTCCCAGCTTCAATCATTCTCACCCAACACAGGACTCGAAAATTTGGCCAACAAATGCGCGCTCTGTCGGGCTAGATTCTGTGCGAGAGGAAGTATGGTGATGGAAGCCTGACTTTCAGGCACTCCTCGCTTCGCAAACCACATGTGCGTGATATGACCTACCACCCATATGGTGAGTGGCTCTCCGGTGGCCGGATCGCATAATGTTTTGCTGCGGTCGTTGACCGCTTTATATTGTCCCCACGTAGCAGTCAGCAATAGCCTTCCAAGAGCATACACGTGGGCCTTCTCATTTGTGTAGTTCGATAACTTGTGAAGACGTCTATGCGTGTGTCAGCGATCATTCTCATCTTCATGTTGTAAGTACTCACGCCTTCAGTTCATTTCCGTAGTCTTTTACTTCTGCCTCATCTATGAGCAGCTTAGTTGGGTTAGGGATCACAGTCCGAACCGATAGAGTCGGTTGGGTTGCTCCACCACCTCGTTTACCAACAGTTGTAGGTGAAATGGCATCTGATGGTGTTGGATTGGCAGTTGCGACTGTCCCAATTGAATCTTGCTTGGATCTATGTTGGTCATCATCAGTCGCCCTTGCAAAATCACTGATCAGTATTTGTCTTAGCAATTGTCTAGAGGTCAGACTGACTCAGCGTGTTGCGCTTCTCCAGTAGGATCTCCTCCTCCTTCACCAATTTCAGTTCCTTCCGGAATTTCATTAGATGCCCCTTTTCAGACGGCTGTCAGCACAGTCATAAGTCTCATGAGGGCAGTTGAACTAACCCGTGTTTGATAACCTGATCTTCTTGTTAGGCCAGGCATGCGTCGAGCCTTCTCTATCTTCTGCAGTGTCGTTCTTAGATTTGACCATGATGATGATTGTTATTCAGACTCTACTGCGGTCATTTCACCCATTAAATATCCCCTATTTTGTAAATAAATAACGACAAAGTACCTGCCACTTGTTTAGTCATCTCTTAAGCGTTGTGCGGTGTGCGTCTTCCTCGATGGTTTGTATATGTCGACGCCTTCTTCATTTCATCATTCGTCATCGAAGTATAATGTCGTATGGGCTTTCTTCACTGCTCTTTCCTGAGGTGGCGGCGTAGTGGTATGCTTGCGATCAGCTCTCTTCTCATTCTAGTGTGACTCGTTAGTGCAGTTACATCATTTATCATTTTGGATCCTCACATGCATCAAATCTGAAACATAGTGCGCAGGAATCAATCGCACGACATGCGTGCAGGTTAGAAAACATTTCAGACTCGTCCCCTTCTGTCGATCCCGACTCAACACAAAATCCAGCTCGGCACCAACATCCACGAAATCGCCCTCTGTCAAGAGCACAGCGTCCATAGGAACAACCTTGCCTGCGTCCGTCAAGTTGGCAACAGTCAAGGGACGTACAACATTCCAGCGGTCTTGGACACAGATGTATCTGCCTTCTGGATCTTGTGTTGCCGTAAGAGCGGGCTCTTTTGATTTTCGGGGTTGATCCCTCTGTCATCAAATCATTAGATCAATTCGGAGCTTAACTGGTGTGTACACGAACTTTGATAAATGCACGTCTCTGTGAGTATATTTCTTTCTTGCATGCAATTCCTTGCGTTGGCAAGTGCAAACGTCAGCCGACGTATTCACAAGCAAGGTTTAGGGACCTAAAGGTGGCTTCCCAAGGCTTTTGTTGTCCCCCTGAGGAAATGTTGACATATTGGACTGCACGAGCTACGTCTGCTTCCCGCCTACGGTGTGTGAGCTTATTTGAATCCATGCATCGGCATTGAGTACATACCCAGACCAGTTTCTGAACCTTTCCACACGAAATTTGCCCAAAATGCCGTGGAGGCGAATGGCCACAGGATATATTGTGCCTGGTTCCGCGTCTGGGACTTCTTTGTAGATCAGAATGCGATCTCTCGATTTATCTCTTTGTTCGTGGTCTTGATACACGTCTGCCCATTTCGCCATATCTTGCAATGAGGCCGGGAATAATTCCCATGATGCGTAGTCGTTATCTCCTTGCAATCTCCGAATTTCATTCTTCATTGCCTTAGGCCACAGTTCAAATACCATTGTGTCTTCAGATGCTGCCAAATGGTCAAGGTTGAGTCTAAATTGGATGTATCGGTTGTCATCTTACCAGCTAAGAAAGACATGGTCACAGTGAAAAGGAGAAAAATAGGATCCCGTCGTATTTCAGGCATTTGTCTTAGATAAGTTCGATGTCATGACGTCATGTTTGAACCCAGTTCCACGTGATTTGGTGCAGGAAGGTCGAAGCATGCTTTTTTTATTATCCGTGATCATGGCGAACGTGAGTGGTAAAAAAAAGAAGACAGGGAACGGGTGATGTGTAGTCTTGCTTGACAGTAATCATTTCGCCCATTGTGACATTAAGGACAAGATATACATGACCGTACGTCCCCTTGTTGACGAGGACATGGTGAACCCATTGAAATATGAAAATGCAGTTGATCAAGATAACGAGGATAAAAGTGATGCCAGAGGCATAGAGAACGGTTGCTTGATCTGGACAACGTGGTGGTCCTGAGAGCGAAAATGATTTCCAAGCATGATGCTAGTAGGCAACTAGACAGATTCGGACAAACACAATATAGACTCGGGGAAATGCAAGGGAAGGAAGTTAGTACAGATCTGTTACAAGTGGAGAAAGAGGCGTAAAAATATAAAGATAGCAATGCGGTGTGTGAAAATGGAAGCAGAAGAAAACAATTACAAAAGATAATGATAGATCGAGAGAATTTATTAATATCACAAAACGCACCTGAGTGTCAGAGCCAGTAGACTTGTTATCCAGAGTACATTTAACACCATGACCACGGGGCTATTGAAAAGCTGCATATCAGCAACGGATACATATGTCAGATAATTCAAAACACTTACTCCGCGAAGACATCATGGATATCAAGCTGAGCAAGAATGACCAACACAGAAAGCATTACGGCTGTGAAAATCCTTCGATAGACATGAGCTGGGTGACGAATTTGCGTCCAAACGCAAGAACTTGCTGACACGTCTCCACTCTCTGACGCGTCCTGCAACAAAAATTACACCGAGAATGAATTGAAAGGGAATGACACGTACCAACGATAATGACGCTGAAATCACCGAACTGTTCATATATCTCATTTCGCCTGGAACGCTCCTCCTCAATGAGGCCAAAAAAACTTTGAAACGAACTTGCGAAACATTCTCGAATAGCGGAATGTTGTTTGAGCATCGGTCTACCAATTCGAAAATTTCCACCAGCAGTTGGGATCGGTACACCAGTAGTTAGCGCCAGTGCTATCCTTTCTCCGGCTGCGTAGAACCATAAGTCAACGGAATGTTAGCAATGAAACACAAAGCAAGTTGACGCACATTTGTTAGATAAATATATATAATATCCTGAGCACGTGAACGTGCTGGTGACAAGATACTTGTCTTGTAGTTCGTTTGCGTTGTAGATCCAGAGACTGTCAGTCTAGTCAGATGACGAAAAGGATTCCGAGGGAAGGAGATAGTTACATGAATTTCATAGTAGAAATTGACGACTTTGGTTGATCATGTGATATATGAGTCACATGCCAGTCATTGATTTTGAGCCTGAGTCTCGGTCTCCCTTTTCTTCAACTCGGTGTAGAACAGTTCAACCTGGTTGGGAAGTCCTAGTATTATCCGCATCCCTCAACTAGGGAATATATTCCACCATTTCACTTCAATCTCATCCTTACTCCAAAATTCTGCCGGTGAGGGCAAAATTACCGTATTTGATGCCATGGTAGCCATCAGACATCTACCGGTGATGGTAACTCAGTTTTCATTTGATTTCACTTCTGCGGGGGAGAGCCCTGCTATGGCTGGAGGTCTCCGTGCGTCCTCTGTGATCCCGCAGAAGTCTGTACTACATATATCATTTTTTTTGGCTTTTTGCTTTATTTCGTGTCCATTTCATTTCACTTTGGCGGGTGAGAGCTCTGCTATGGCTGGAGGTTTCCGTGCGTTCTCCATGATCCCGCCGAATTCTGTATTGTAAATTATTATTGATTTCGCTCTTCTTTTTTTCTTTAATTCACGCACTTCGCTGCCTCTCCAACTAAACTGTCAACCTCTGCTGTGAGAATCATGTAACTATCTCCTTCTCTTATCATCCTTCTCGTCATCTGATCAGACTGGCTTGCGCAGCACGATTCAACGGATTATGTTCGTTCCAGGACTTCCCTACTTCCTCGCCATGTCTAGCATGACATCTGGCAAATTAGTCAAGACATTTCCAAAGTATCTGCCTCCCTCGACATTTCCAAAGTATCTGCCTCCCTCGCACCTCCTCCAACACTCTCTTTATCTGGCGCTTCCCGCGTCAGAGGGAACCATTTTATCAACGTCTTCTCTGAAGGAAGACGGTCAATCCAAGCAGGTGACAGTCTGCTCGTGGTGCATCGCTTAACTGCGAATGGCAATGAACTGGGACGCGGACCTCCTGGCAGGCCAACGTGCTAGCTCGGATTGAATGACAGGAATCGACAACAGAAATTCGACTTGTATGCGAGGGCTTTTCAGGAAATCCAAATCGTCAATGGAATTTGAGCCATCCCATCATATCTCGCGCCTTGAAAAGTTGCTTCAAAGCCAGTCCAGATAAGTCTCGACAAGTCCCGCGTTCCATCCAATTACATAGCACTACTACTAGTTGCATTTGTTTGCACTCTAGTACGGTCCTGAACCCTTCGTCGTGGGCGGGGCCAACGTTTGGGATAGATCCGGATTCGCTGGCGGAGCACTCTGTTACTCTCGAATTTGACTTCCCTGGTGATACAAGGGCCGTATCGGGTCAACGTACTCAATGTTACAGCAGACGGCGGTGTAGGGATTCATTTCTGGTTGGGCTTGTAGAGACTGTTTTTACCTTACCTTATGTTGGCACTTTTGTAGCTTACATAATCAAGCAATCTTTTCACCAGTTACCAGTATGAGTCTGAGAGATCAGCAAGTTTTTATGGTATTTCCTCTCCTCTGAGCCTTGAGCCTGGTCCAGAAACCCTTTAGGGTCGAATAGCAGCTAGGTTCTGCAAGACCCAACACATTGTTCAGACTCACCATCTGAATTGTTGTACCTTCAGCGGGACATGGATACAAGTACGAGCAAGAGCTGGGATTAATGCGGGATCAATCATGGGAGTCGATACGGATGGTGACGAAGGAACATTCTACGACATGTGGAAGTCATTTGGTCGATGGGGCGTCAAGGTTCTAGATAGAGTCACAGTGGATGTGTCCACCACTCAAATCTTTTCTCAGCGACAGGCGCTTTTAGCCACGCTCGATTCCCCACCATTTGAACTTCCTCTCACCGCCAATCCCTCATATGACAATTCGTGGTTATCCCCATTGTCTTTGACTCTTTTTGTCGTCCCCACGCAGAACGCATCTGATATAAACCAGTTCGTGCATGACTCCTGGCATTTGGGTGCTGCGTCTGTACATGCCTCTATTCCTAGCGTGATCATCTCTGGGGGCTCCATGGACAAAGGCGGTTGGAGGCAAATTCTAAAGTTTCAGAGATCAAGTATAGAGACTCAGTTATCCATGAAACGTGAGTCTTTATTATCTGTTAACTTGTTTAGAAGCTACAGCAACACTGGCAGTTTTGCCAATCCCTGGCTTGCCTACCCCGGGCAAGGACGTACCCCTACGATCCATTTCGCAGCTGATCATGTTGCAGTCTTTCGGCGTGGAGTCTGAAGCTGAAGACGTAACTGTACAAAGAATAAAACCAAAAAAAAAAAAAAAAAATGCCACCTATAATAAACCTAACTGCACCCTCACTTCCGTTCATAATTTCGCTCCCCAGCGAAAATCATTCATTAGTACCGATGGTATCGGTCCACACCAACCCGTTCATGCTAACCCACCCCAACATCACACTTACTATGTCTGGAAGCGTCTTACCCCTCCCCCCCTCACCATTCCGCACCCATTTCTGCTTGAATTAGTAGATTCCTCTTCCTCGAACCTAACCCCGTATCTGTCGCATGTCCACTATTCCCATCTTTTGCGCTGGACATGGAATTTCCGGCCCCCAGTTCCAAACCACAAATACTGCGCAATGTGACAATTCACGATATGAAGATCAAACCCAACTCTGCTAGCACCGGTTTTCTTGCGAGTGGTTCGGTGTTCGCTCGCATAGTACTTCCTAAAGGAATGGACCTTACACTAGATGTTACCCGCGTATTTCCTGATGTTCTGGTCTTCGACGGGGAAGCACATGAATTGCCTACACTTTTCTTACCCCAACAGAAAGACAAAGAATAATTACCGGATCCACTTCCAGAACGCGCATTTGGTCATATACGACCTGAAGATTGGTTGGAAGCGACAAGCGTTCAAGTCGACACCGAAGGAGAAGGCTCCATATTCGCAGTCACCTGTTTTTTTTTTCGTTTTTGTCCGATGACTTTCCAATCTGTACGTGTCTTCAGTTTACAGTGCTTTGACTGTTCATGCTAAACCTCATTCACAGTCGTACCATTCGGAGTCATCGGGTATGTTGTCTTTTTTTCGGTTTCTTGACACGAGCTGACGACTTTCCAGCTTCTACCGCTATCTGTGGTACTTGATTCGTATCATTGCCTCCGTCACCTACCGTCCTGTTTCTCTCCCTGAAAATCCCACTTATGTGGCTTCAGAAGATGTCACTATCATTGTACCCACCATCGACGCTGGTGAAGAATTCAAGGAAGCAGCCAACAGTTGGCTTGCTGGCAAACCGAAAGAGATCATCATCATCACCGAAGAGAAAATGCTCATTCCTCTCCAAGAACTCGCCAACGCCGTTGACCCGGAGCGTATTCGCGTCCTCACCGTTCCTTTCGCGAACAAGCGGTTGCAGATGGCACACGGTATTAGGAATACCACGACAGACATCATTGTCTTTGCAGACGACGATGCTATTTGGCCACCAATGCTTTTGCCATATGTGCTCGCATGTTTTGAAGACCAGAAGGTCGGAGGCGTGGGCACGAGTCAACGTGTCCAACCAGTAGGCAAACGCATGACAGTTTGGGAGGTCCTTGCGGCATTCCGTCTGACGATCCGTAACATCGAAATTAGCTCCAGCACGCATATCAATGGTGGTCTTCCATGTCTTTCGGGCCGTACAGCTGCCTACCAAACGGTCATCCTCAAAGACCCAGAGTTCTTGCATGGTTTCACGCACGACTACTGGCTGGGGAAGTACCAGCTCAACTCAGGCGATGACAAATTCTTGATGAGGTGGATGGTGAGCCATGGATGGAGTACCTATGTTCAGTGTTGCAAAGAGGCAGAGCTGCTGAGTACGATGAAGCCGAACTGGAGATTCTTGAAACAGGTTTTACGATGGACCCGAAATATGTGGCGAAGTGATTTGAGGTCATTATTCATGGAACGGTATATTTGGACTACACATCCCTATGTCGCTTATACTATGGTCAGTTGACGTCGGTGACATCATCCTGTCAGCCATATTTATTTTTATCTCGTTCACAGGTCGACAAGCTCTTTAACCCCTTCACGCTCCTAGTGGGACCCTGCCTCGTCGGTTATCTTGTTTGGAAAAGTACCATTGCCGTTATAGACGGAGGATACCATCTACCTTGGTGGAACATTATCCTCTCATATATGGTCTGGCTTCTCGCGACTCATACCGCCAAGCTCCTCCCGCATCTCTGGCACACGCCCAGCCACATCATTTATGTCCCTGCGTTCATCCTCTTCGGGTACTATTTCGCGATCATGAAGCTGTATGCGCTCTTCACGCTCCATGAGACTGGATGGGGAACTCGTGCAGGCATTGGCGACCCGACGAAAGCCACAGCTGCCACGGACGGTGGGGGTGTCGGCGTCAACGTAGTACAAGAAAAGGCCTATTCTGAACCGTCTAATCCGTCGACGCCGTGCTCAAGCCATCAGTTACTGTATCAGCAACCAACAGGACAGATGCAAAATGCTTATGCCCCATAAGCAGCATTCGGTGGGCAGAATGGGGACGGGCATCAATAGTCATGAATGCTATGAGATCATGATGCATGGATACTTGCAGCACAGACATTTTCATATACCGGCTCGACCACTGTAAATGCGTCACATTATGGTAGATTCGCTTTCTCGAGTAGTGAACCTCATTGCATCCCACCCTCGTATTCCCCGCAGACGATGACGCGACTAACGTATATCATTACTGCGATCCTCGTACATACCACTCACATTACCTTTCTGTCGTTATTCCACGGGATTTCTCTACTCTATTTTGGACTAGCTGGTCATAATACTCACAAAGCGCTCTCCTACATTGCAGATAGATGCGTCGTTCACTGCATACACATTGGTTTTCTCATACTGGTCGTTGGTGTTGACATACTTTCATGCGATGCTATCGTTAACAATATTCTCGCAGCTTGGATGTCTTGATCCTTTTTGTGTACAATTATTCTCCGATGCTCATATATACCGAGTCAAGTCAATTGGGAACCTGAATGGGAATGGATCAACACATGTCGACAGCCACAGGTGCTAACCTAGCACCGTAGTACGTCATCCAGGACAGGTCCCCGCTTACAACAAGAACAAGCTTCCATCGTGATTGAACTGGAGAACTCGGGAAGCGATATAGCCGGTCCAATTATATTCCCCAACGATGTTCACGAGGCTGCCAGTGATGAAGCTGTGGAACTTCGCGATGTCTGATCGGAGAAGATGTGGAGATAGAGACCGGTGGGTTGAACTGTACCATCAAATCACAAGTTCATGTCCAATGGCGAAAGCCACTATACCCATGGTGCCCTAGCTGGCTTGCAGGGAACTACTGATGTTGGGGTGCACATCCTCGGATTACCATTTGCGCTCGCAAAACCCTCTTCGGAGCTGGCTTTCGAAATGTCGATGGTCGCAAGGTCGGCATACTCCGCGACGTACAGTTGTTGCGAGAGGTGGTGGCCGATGTGAGCTGGGATGAATATGAAAGTTCCATAGGAGAAGATTTCGACCTGGACGATGACTCATATGACAGTAATTATTTTGATCCTGGCATTCATAATTACGATTTCGACAGTGACTACGGATATTCCTAGGTACCTTGGATATTTTAGGCTTATCATTGTCAGTTGGTGCATTTACAAGACAACCGTGGCCATGTGCATTAAATTGGATAATCGCGAGACTGCAAAGGAATGGCCACTAAGAAGGGAGTGAGAATCCTCTGTGTTTTTGAGCGTACGTTCATAATTTCGTCTTCCACGATACCTTCCTCATACATTCACAGAACATTTACGTCAATTGGGTCTCCATAATGTTTCAGTTCGTGCGTTCATGATCGACGTTATCCCCGTCATTCTCATGTTGGACTAAGTACTTTTCACGAGTCCAAGTCGCAACTCTTCGTAACCATTGCATTTCTTCACGAGCATCCCCTTGCAGCGACCCATAAAGCGTCCTAGATGAAAACCATCGCAAAATCGCCACATCTCGTAAACAACTGACTCGAGACAACATTACGTAGATGCTCTGAAGAGTCTTGGCGCCGGTTAAGTCGACAACAACCTTTGTCATAGTGCTTCCTTGAATTTTAAAGTCTGTAAAAGCCCAGCCAGGTAGTATCGGCAACTGTGTGCGCCTGACATTGATTTTTTTCGTGTTTGTAGGGAATACAAAACTGCTTGTCACTGGCAATATCGGCACAGTGCCATCAGATAATCCAGGCACGTCTAGAGCACTTTCAGGAATGTGTACTAAAGCACATACGGCAAATTTGTTCCCATCCGCATCACTATCGTAAGTAATCGACTTCAATATCCCCCGGCTACCATTGACGATGTGGGCACTAGTGGCAGCATTTTCTGTGATCATCACGGGCATACCGGGAATCAAAGGCAATTTCCCAATGGAATCGCCTGTGTCAGAAGCACCTAATTTCCACAATCGGCGCTGTTGCTCACTACTCACAGACTTGCCAGCTATTTTATCGCGTGCGTGGTATATCTCAAATTGTTGGTTGGATTCAGAGGCAAAGTTTTTCGCCTTAGACTCATTCAACGCATCTCTCAGAAATTTTCTGGTCACAATAATGGGCGCATCCTTGAAATGGGCAGACTCTGCAGGTGAGCGGTCTTTGAGTGTGCTAAGCAATCGAGTCTTTAACATATCATAGTCACTTTGATTGTTCGGATGGCCAGCAGTTTTGATAGTTTTGCCTATGCGAATACGATTGAGGAGGTCGACAAAAGCAGCGTCATTTTTAGCATGCAAATTTTGTTTAAGTTCGACGACGGTATCCACCTGCCGCCATAAAAAAGCACCATGGAGTGCTGATTGACCTCTAGCTGTCTGTGTCATTGCAGGAGCAAGTTGCCTTACTAATGCATGGCTGTATAAAGTGTTTGACTTTGGAGGACGCAGTTGCCCGATGTCTCCTGAAAAGATGATATTGACTCCTCCGAATGGTTTGGTTCTCGCACTGTCATCCCACGATTTCGCTTGACATATCCGATCAGATACTTGGCTTAATAATTCAGCAGACATCAATGATGCCTCATCCAGAATAAGATATTTTACAGTTCTCCAAACAGATTCTAGGTCCTGTTGTTTAACGGTTACGTTCCTCTTCGGCAAAAAAGTCAAAGCATGGATTGTATATCCATTGATGAGTACGGCCGCACTCCCGGTTGGTGCACTCAGCACCAACTTTTCAGGTGCACCACATCTCTTGAACAGTTCGACTACTGCATGAATCACATGACTTTTGCCAGATCCGCCTATCCCCGTGATGAACATCAATAATTGTTCGACGTTGTCTTGAATGAAATGTTCGCCAATAATCCTGAAGCTCATCTCCTGTTCCGGGTTGTCCTTCAAATGAAACTCCTCGATGATCTCTGACAGAATAGCTACCTTGTCTGCCTGTGTCGTTTCAGGCTGATAATATACATTGGTCACTTCGATGTTCTCTTCCATTTGTTCTAATGTCAACGTAGGATGAGATTCCTCTTGCGCCAGATGCAGCCGTTTGGGGTCTTGATCTGCTTCGCCAATGTCTAAGGGTCGTTTCCTTTTTTTGGCGGCTTTCATGATAGACGTGTATTCCTGAATGCATGCTCGAGAAGCTGCAGTAAGTTGGTGGCTTTGCTTGTCTGATTCAGTGATATTCACATTTCCAGTGGCTGTCAATAGTCCTCCATCTTTGGCTGCACGAAGACATGTGTGAATATCTCCGACATGTTTAGGTGGTTCGGACGGATTGTCTGATGGACCAGGCATGTCCATATCTTCGTCCTCATCAGGATCTAATGCAGCATTGGCGAACAATGCTTCATCAAATGCCATCATATCCTCCTGCATATCGGCATCTCCAATATTCGAAAATCCAAAGATATGTGGTCTGGCTCGATCTGCAACAACCTGAGCGGCATGTGCATCACGCGCGTCTTTGCACTCATTCTCGACATTCATGTTCTGAATAATTTTATGCAACCCAGGTGCAAAATGCTGCCGAGAAAATGACTCAGCCCATGTGTCGTCATTATTTTTCAGTTCCTGGAAACTGCGCCAGGGTTTAAACAATATCAGCATAGCACGACAAAATGTCTCATATTCTTCCGTTGAACCATCCGGTCGTGGAATTGCAGCTCCCAACAATACTGGGACAACGTGCACTTTGCGCAATCGCAAGTAGTGGTTCTCACTCTGTGAATGTTCCGGTAAGAATTTGGCTCGAGGTAACTTTCTGTGCGCATGCTTCTTTGGATTTAGTAGCTCCCCGCTGGCCAAACGACCATCAGATTCGGACTCATCGATGTTCTTGTTCTCGATCTGGCCTTTCATTTTTATGGTGGATTCAATGAATTCCCAGAGGCAAAGATTTGCAAAATTTTCATCATAAGGTCGTAAGGTATAATCCTGCACATCACTTGTAAATTCCACGTTTTCTGTTGAAATCCCTACAGTGACGGATTCTTCAACGTGCAGCAGGTCGTCATCATTGTCAACATCATCACCGGTTGAGATACCAGCATCGTGTTCGAACTTATCGACCGCATTGGTAAATTCAAACCATTTAAAGGTCTGGAAACTGTGACTGGTGTAATGATCTCCTCCACCCACCAAATAACTCATCACCTGTTGATGAGACATTTCTTGGCGACCCATCATCGCATTGACAGATTTTGTAATCAGGTTGCGAACTATGTGAGTATCTTTAGCATCTTTGGCGTCGACATACTTAGCATTATGCATCTTAGTGGCATAATCCAGAGCTTGCAGGCCAACATACAATGGAACATCGCCCTTGGTGATGTATTCAGTTATATAAAAGACTGTGGCTTTCGCTGCTTCTCCCGAGCCGATGAATTGTGTATCAGTATTACATTGCATCAGAAACAAAATCAAATCCGTGAAATTGTTGACCCGACCACGCCACCGCTGAAGCTCAATTGAGCCGCTCGCCACATCTATGCATGTCTCTTCTTGTAATGTACCATCTAACCGCATCCTGCAATTAGCATCTCCTCTCTTCTCTCCACTCTTGAGATGCTTATAACAGGTATCGTTGTGAATGTGCCAATTGCATTCCACTGCTAAGCGAGTCAGAAAGTCCGTGAATTCATATTCGAATGATTGATTGTCCAATTCCGCCACTTGTGGTTGTTGCTCTAGGCGAGGATCCATCTCTTCTTTTGCTCGCGGTGGTTTCTTCGCATCTGCGCTGGTTCTTTCTGGGACCGGACCTTTGTCATATGGCAATTCACAACTGATAATGTTTTCTAGCCAAGCGAACATGACACCTTGAAACCGATCATCTTCAGCCATCTTATTGCACAATTCCTGAGGACTGGGGTTGCCCACGATCCACAGAAGCATATGACAATGTAATGTACCCCTTCCCTGCACTTCAATTGTCCCATAATAAGCTTGACAATGTCCAAACACACCAGGGCCATGCTTATATTTGATTATGATGTCAATAAACGCCCGGATTTGCAAGTCAAACGCAATTGCGGCAGCATCTGGCCGTTCTGCCACTAACTTCGCTCGCTCGAAGTAACTCATCGCTACCCATTCATCCAATTCAATTCCTGCTATGGCAGGAATAGCACTACTGGTCAGGTCATGTGGATTGACCGTCACGAAAATTGCTGGAGTGCAAAATTTCTTCATCAAGGCGCGTATTTCATTTCGGTGGCATAACTTATAACCTGCGCTGCCCCTCAAGAACTTGGTGGATGCTTGTAACCGTCGGAGGACACGTGCGGCTTTTTTTTCTTCTGTTGTAGACGGTGGACTGTAGGTAGACTGACTCCACTTTTCAGCCAAATTGGTCAAGGAAGGTGCAATGTTCTTTAAATTGTTGGCAAGACTATACTGCAGTGACGAACTTATCCGAAAAGATGTGTTCGTACTGACTTCTTTCTTCTGGATCATATTCCAGCAAACAAAAGCAAAATTAGCATCCCTACGAAAGGGCGAGTCGTCTTGGAGAAGCAGATTTTTTACTTGGGCTTCCATAGACAAATACTGTTGACGTGTTGTCACGAGTTCCAAATACAAACCATTATTCGTTCCTTAATTCTAAGTCCTTTAAGCGCTCAGTCACAGCGCCTGTTCCTAAGAATGTATTTACTGTTGAAGAAGTTCCTATTATTGTGTCTATTGTAGAATTACCAGAGTCACGTGATCTATCGGACAATGCCGAAGATATTGATGTCATGCCTCGCGACACTCTTGGAATGTTCCAGAGTCTTACTGCGGCTGCGGCACATGTTATGACATCATAGTTATATATAGAATCGTATGATACCTTTAATTATTCTGATTGGTTAGTTAGTTCATACTCAGTTTCAGTCTCAGTTTCAATATGTGTATATAGGTAGCTCGTCGTAGTCAGTAGTTCTTTAGTTCAAACCTCTTGTATCTCCAAGTGAGCAATACCAAGATGTACCTGCTGCCTACCTTCTCTGCGTGATTATTCTTTGTTTGAGTCCTAGTCTCTGCCCAGCGTTAATTCGTTATTGGGTTGTGACATTAGGTTTGAACTATAGGAGACTCCGACTCTCGCGTTACACTCTCGCATCTCTTTCTCTTTCGCCTGGTCGTGTTGGTAGTCATCACACCATCAGCCGAAACAGAACCGTTATACTTTTGCCCGGCTTAACCGCTGCGATCCCTTGTTTCATCTCTTTGCTCATTTGAGCGCATTTTCATACCTATCATCTTTCTTAGTTAGTAGTCCTATACCAGGCCCTGTCTTACCGCAGCCGCCAGTATACGGAGGTGTTCACGACATTAGGCGTGTCACTGCAACTTTGAGTGTTGGCCCAAAACCCTGCCTGCTCAATGTTACTATAGTTTCATTTTACCTATCCTTTTCTTCATACGCACGTAGGCATTCGTTTCGAGTCAATAGCGGAACTGTCTAGACGACAAAACCGTGCTTTCGACCTACGAGGATTTAGCGACATACCCTAGTGAGACTCGCACTTGTAAGCTTCGGCTGGAAGAGTGATAACTTGTCCTAGGCTTGTACCCTCAGAACGGAGATTGCATTGTCCCTAGTTTTTCCCACTCAATCGAGTATAGTTACGTATCCTTTTTAGTTAGTATTAGGGAAGCATCGGTTAGGTTGATTAAAGAACCCTTCGATCCTGAAGTACGTGGTAGATCCGATCAGATATCGGGGACCGCTTCAGTTTTCCATTACATAACTTTCTTCTTTTCACCATCATTCCCTTTCGGAAGAGCCCTTACGAGCAGCTCTTCAACAGACATCAGTGAATCGGGTTCCAGAAAACAACTGGCACTATGTCTGAATTACCAAACTCTCCTACGCAACCTGCACAGACGGTGATATTACCATCTAGTCCACAAGAAATTGTTGACTACATTCACATGTCACTTGCGAACCAAGCGGACAGCTTCAGGGTCAGAATAGCGGAACTAGAAGCCAAGAATTTAGCTCTAGAAGAAGCAAACAGACTCCTGGGCGTATGCCTGGAAATGCAAGAAGACGAGACTGTGAAAATACAGTCACAACAACCATCATTCGGCTCTGCAGGAGCTAGCCTACTTTCATCGAACTCTTCCCCCTCCATCAAATACTCCAAACCACAGGACTTCACAGGAGAAAAAGACTCCATAGAACTCATGGTCTGGATATCCCAAGTAGCGCTATACACTGCGCAATGGCCCAATATCCAAGAAGGCCAAAGGATCGGAGTTATGCTCTCCTTCATGAAAGGCACTGCAGCCAAATGGGCGCAACCTTATATCACTAAACTTGGAAAGACCGGAGATGAGAAGTTGACCGTGGAGAAATTCCTGGAAGACTTAGAAGCCATGTGGGGGCAGGAGGATCGCGAAGGAAAAGCGATTAGGGAACTAGAATCCCTTAGACAAGGAGCTTCCTCGGTTCCAGAGTACGCAGCCGCTTTCAGACAAAAGGCTGCACATACCTCCTTTTCAGACTACGACCAGAGACAAAAGTTCAGAATGGGACTTCAAGACCGCGTCAAGATACAGCTTGCTCATGTCCGCTACGAGGACAAAAACACCATGAAGAAACTGGTGGAACATGCGATCCAAATTGGATGCAACTTCGAAGAGCTGGACGCGGACAAGAAGAAGACGACCTGGTGGACCCCTAAACAAGGCCCCAGGACCCCTGAATACAAACCTGGTCCGAGCAGGGAAAGCGACGCTATGGACGTCGACGCCAACAAGCAGCGAGGTGCTCCAAAACCTCAAGGAAGGACTGGATCCTTCAAATGCTACTGCTGTGGAGGCGAAGGCCATATGGCTAGAAACTGCAAAGACGCAGTCGCACCAAAAGTGCAGGTGAAGGCTACTACAGTGCCAAAAGAAGAAGACCCTATTCCGAGTTGGTTCAAAGCTTGGGTCAGCTCCAAGGAAGGCAAGGGTTTTTAGAAGGGTCGAAGTCAAAGTCTGCGAACTTAGACCTGAACAATCGTTTCTCCATCCTATCTACGTTCTCGGATGTATCAGAAGTATATATTAAATCCAAATCTGAGCATTTTTACATTCCAATCACGTTGAAGGGAAAGAACCGACAAGCAGATGTGAAAGCACTGGTAGATTGTGGTGCATCGACATTATTTATTAGCGAGAAGTTTGTGAAGAAAAACGAAGTCCGGTGCCATAAATTATTAAGGCCCATTCCGGTTAAAAATATTGATGGCTCGTTAAATGCCGCTGGATCGATGACTCATTACACTGAATTAGGTCTAAAGATCAGTGACCATGTTGAGGATCAAGCAGCCTTCATGATTACGGACTTAGGAAGCGATGATGTGATTATTGGCATAGATTGGCTAAGATATCACAACCCGGAAATAGATTGGAACGCTGGACGTTTTGCACTTTCTCGTTGCCCGGTTAAATGTATTACTAAAAAAGAACAAAGACAAAAAAATAAAGAAAAAAGAAAAGAACAAAAAAAGATAGAAGAAGTGCCAGACCTGATTCCCACAGAAGAGGATGACGAAGAAGACATGGCGATGAAGAGGGCGACAGTTGAGGAAATAGAAGACGAAGAGTATCCTGGAGAATGGATCAAGTATAAAGCCTCGGTTGCCACAGAGCAGAAGGTTGCAGAAGAAGCAACGAAGGTGAAGAAATCGGTCGAAGAGATGGTTCCCGATTGGCTTCACGAGTACCTGGGAGTTTTCTCAGAAGAAGAATCTAAGCGCTTCCCTGAAAGAAAGAAATGGGATCATGCGATAGATCTTAAAGATGATGGCGATCTTCCGCCGAATGCGAAACCCTATCCCTTATCACCCAAGGAGATGGACACTTTGAAAGATTGGTTAAAAGCCGAGACTGCACTGGGACGTATAAGAAATTCACAATCTCCAGTGGCAGCACCTTTCTTCTTTGTGGCCAAAAAAGATGGCAAGTTAAGACCGGTGATGGACTATAGAAAGCTCAATGAGAAGACGGTTAAAAATGCATATCCGCTACCGAGATCTCAAGATTTGATTGATGCTTTAACCGGTGCCACAATGTACTCCAAGATGGATGTAAGATGGGGGTACAATAATATTCGCATGAAAGAAGGAGATGAGTGGAAGGCGGCCTTCAAAACGCCGTTTGGTCACCATGAACCAACCATGATGTACTTCGGTTTAACAAACTCCCCTGCCACGTTTCAAACCATGATGAACGAGATATTCAGAGATTTAATTGATGGAAAGACCGTAGTTGTCTATATCGATGATATCCTCGTGTTCACAAATGGCAATAGGGAGCAACACCGAAAAGTTGTACGAGAGGTACTAAAACGACTAAAAGAGAACGATCTGTATCTGAAGCCTGAAAAGTGTAGCTTCGAACAGACAGAAGTCGAGTTCCTCGGGTTGATAGTGGAAAAGGGTGGTGTTCGAATGGACCCTGTGAAAGTAGAAGGAGTAATGAAATGGCCTGTACCCAAATGTGTTAAAGATATTCAAGCATTTATGGGCTTTGCCAACTTCTACAGAAGATTTATCTTCGGGTTTTCGGACATTGCCAGACCAATGAATGATTTATTACGGAAGGATGTCAAATGGGATTGGACGGAGAAACAGCAAGATGCTTTTGATGAACTGAAGTCAAGGTTTACATCAGCTCCGATCCTAGTAATGCCTGACGTTGAGAAGAAAATGAAAATAGAAACCGATGCTTCTGATTATGCAACTGGAGCGGTTCTATCTCAACTGATGGAAGATGACCTATGGCACCCCGTGGCGTATTACTCTAAGTCAATGAACGATGCAGAAAGAAATTATGACATCCATGACAAAGAGTTACTTGCAATCATTCGAGCGTTGGAGGAGTGGAGGCACTATGTGCAGGGAAAACCTCACCATGTGGAGATCTGGACGGATCATAAGAATCTCGAGTACTTTATGACGAGCCAAAAGTTGACAAGAAGGCAAGCCAGATGGAGTCTGTTCCTGGCGGAGTATGAATTTACGCTCCAACATAAGCCTGGTGTAGTCAACGATAAGGCCGATAAGCTTTCTCGGAGAGAAGACCACAGAGGGGGGGTAGAAAACGACAATTCTGATCGTATTTTGTTAAAACCGGAGTTTTTTACTGTAAAAGCTGCTAAAAGAGGTCAAGTTCTAGTGCAAGGAGAAAAACAATTGCTGAGAAAGATAAGGCAATGCACAGAACGAGAGCCCGAAGTCACTAAGGCGCTACAAACGTTAAAAGCAGCACCGGTACAATTGCGTAGAGGAGTCGAAGAGTGGAATGTGGAGGATGGATTGGTGTTATTCCGAGGACTGGTTTACGTTCCAAATGATAAGGAGATCCGCCAAGAGATATTGGAGTTGTTTCACGACTCTCCACCGGCTGGACACCCTGGACGTGCCAAAACCTTAGAATTGATTTCCAGAAATTATTGGTGGCCTTCAATGACGAAGTATGTCCACGATTACGTAGATGGCTGTGATAGATGCAGAGCAACGAAGATTCACCCAACGCAACCACATGGTCCGCTTAAACCAAATGAAATACCAGCGGGACCTTGGCAATCAATCACTTGTGATTTGATAGTAGATTTGCCTAAAAGCGAAGGGTTTGACTCTATTTTTGTTGTCGTTGATTGATACACGAAACAAACGCACATCATGCCTACGAAAAAGGAAGTTGACGCTCGAGGAATCGCGAAACTTTTCTTAGATAACGTATGGAAACACCATGGAACTCCGAAACAGGTGATATCGGACAGAGGAACACAATTTGTCTCCAAGTTTATGGGACAAGTGTCGAAACGCCTAGGCATAAAATGGAACATGTCAACGGCTTATCATCCTCAGACAGACGGACAAACAGAGAGAATCAACCAAGAAGTAGAGCAATATCTGAGAATGTTCACGTCTTACCGCCAGAATGATTGGGTAGACTGGCTTCCAATAGCAGAATTTGCTCACAATAACTCTGTCACTGTAACGGGTCATAGTCCATTCAAAGTACTCTACGGATACGATCCAGAGTTTACTTTTTCACCAATTTCCAATTCTAAAGTACCTGCAGCTGATGAACGAGTGGATGTAATGAAAGAGGCGAAGGAAGACGCAGAAAGTATGCTGCGAATGGCGAATGAGCGGATGAAGAGATTCTACGATAGAGGAGTAAAAGACGCACCACAATTCAAGAAAGGAGATCTGGTCTGGCTCAATGCCAAAAATATCCGTCAGAAAAGACCAAATAAGAAACTCTCCGATCGACGACTTGGTCCGTTTGAAGTGCTAGAGAAGACGGGTGATGTAAATTACTGCCTGAACCTTCCAGCAAAATATCAGATTCATCCGGTATTCCACGTAGAATTACTCACTCCGCATTCCCCCTCGACCTTAGTCCAAAGACTTCCACATCATCGTCCGCCGCCAGAGATCTTATCAGAAGGCGATTCCGAATGGATAGTACGAAAAGTCCTAGACTCGAGACTGCACAGATCAAAACTCCAATACCTAGTAGAGTGGGAAGGATATCCGATAGAAGAAGCGACATGGGAACCTGAGGAAAACCTTGAGAATGCACGGTTGAAAGTTCAAGAATTTCACTGGCAAAATCCGAAGGCATTAAATCCCCGCAAAATTAACAAATCGGTGTTCGAAACCCAAGAGTTTTTGGAATGGCGCAAGAAGTTTATCCGTCCTAGTTTCATTCGCGATGACGCTCATCCTAGAGAGGGGGTAATGTCACGAGTTCCAAATACAAACCATTATTCGTTCCTTAATTCTAAGTCCTTTAAGTGCTCAGTCACAGCGCCTGTTCCTAATAATGTATTTACTGTTGAAGAAGTTCCTATTATTGCGTCTATTGTAGAATTACCAGAGTCACGTGATCTATCGGACAATGCCGAAGATATTGATGTCATGCCTCGCGACACTCTTGGAATGTTCCAGAGTCTTACTGCGGCTGCGGCACATGTTATGACATCATAGTTATATATAGAATCGTATGATACCTTTAATTATTCTGATTGGTTAGTTAGTTCATACTCAGTTTCAGTCTCAGTTTCAATATGTGTATATAGGTAGCTCGTCGTAGTCAGTAGTTCTTTAGTTCAAACCTCTTGTATCTCCAAGTGAGCAATACCAAGATGTACCTGCTGCCTACCTTCTCTGCGTGATTATTCTTTGTTTGAGTCCTAGTCTCTGCCCAGCGTTAATTCGTTATTGGGTTGTGACACGTGTCCTCCCACTGTGAAAAAAACCACCTATATCCCAAGGATCCAAATGTGGAAACAAGTAAGACATCAGACCCGGATCATTATCAGCAACAAACTGTGAGCCTGTACGTGATAACAAAAACTTCTTCTTGTCCAATACAAGTGCCAATGCATGCAGCTTCATTTTCTCCCGGCTTGCAGAAGAATGATCGCCCTTCGTATACCCCACTGCTTCCATGACAATATCATTGCTATCAAAATCATTGGACTGTGAAACATCTGTTTCAGAAACTCAATAATCAATGTGGCTCTTTTCCTCAGCATCGTCGGGAAGATGGCATATCTGCAGAGCGCGAGGAACACCACGATCAACATCACCATCTGCTGTATCAAACAAGGAATCCATGTTTTCGGGACTATAACACACACCACTGTGTTGATACCAAGGATTATGCTCCAGCAAAAAATGAATGAGCTGGCGCACACGACTCTTAGTTACCATCACGGGTCGCAATGACTTGATTGTTTCTCTGGTAGGCACCTGCTTGTGACCAACAAAAATAACACACATTGCATCATGCAATTCATCAGGACTGGGCGGCAACAATATTCGCAATTCAGTGGAATCTTGCGCTCGCACGGCGACATTTCCTTTGTTATATCACTGTGAGGCCTCCTCGGCAGTCCAATGGGATCCAGATGACGGTTTGTATGCATAATGGTGGACAATTTGAGATGCACGAGCTCGAGAGACCAACATCAGATCGTAAACAGAGGCTTCCAAGAACGCTGAACGGATCAATGGTGGTAAACGTTCATGAGCGTAATATTGAAAGTTGGCTAGAGAATTGACAGGCTGCCGCGGTGACTTAGACACCAAAGCTGAGCGGCAAGTGCGACACAAGTATATGTCCGATTTAGCCCATAGATCTTGTAACCCCTTGGGATACAATATAGCTCGCTCATACAATTCAAAAGCATAGGTTTGCGGCAGAGTGTGCTCGGGTAGACAGTCATTGCGAAGTAAATGCAGCGGCACCTTCTGAATATCAACAAGCACCAATTCCGTTGCCGGGACATTGTGAGCACAACATGCACATGGACTCCTTCGGAGTGACGTCTGGCTCATTTGTTGTTGCCATTCAGCTATGATGCTTTTTTTGTCGTCAAAAGACAGCAGGATCGGAAAGGCACCATCACAATCATCAGGAGCATCGTGGGTTACACAAGTTTGACGCCGCTGCTTGGCTTGAGGTGTCTCACCATCAGTCATCACGATGTGTTTGGACCGAGTGGCTCGATTACGACTTGCTGGCTTAAAAAGAACTGAAAATGGGTCAGGCATCATCTCATGTGCGAAGTATCGCCGAGGTGTCTTCAAAAGCTGAAATACAACAAGATTGTTGACACACCGAGTGTCACACACATGGACTCTTAACAAGTCGCGTAGATGATCCTTACGATCAGAAGTCCGAATACTAACGAAGTGTGCGCCAGCGATAGTAGCATAGTGACCACGACTCATGTAAGGAAAATTGTCGATGACGTGCCTCAGAGTAGGAGCAGTGACGGGCAAAAAACGGCCAGCTGGATACTGATCACGAAAAGCTCGTCGGACTCGAGAGACCTCATAAAACTCGAAAAACTTGTGTAAAACGCACGATGACACCACGAGCGAACCATCATCAAGAAGCTCCTGATCCGACACCACCAAAGAAACGGGAGGCACCAGGAAAGACGACGTCGACGAAACAACAGAGGACGAAGAAGCTGCAGCCATCGCAACTTATTGAGATGTTTATACAAGCGCGCAAGACGGTGACGTCCTAATGGTAGAACAGGAGACCACAACCGAACGATGACAGGCGGAAAGGAGCTGACAAATCAATGACAGATCAGGATGCGAAAACCGGGCCGCCAAACCCGGTGAGATCGATATAAAGTTTACCATTGTAAAAAAAAATCGTTATACCAGTCCCCTTAAGGGTCCTGGAATATATCAATATTTATCGTGCTATGGACTTGGGAATCGCAGTTGAAATAGTCCTGTGCAAAAGCATTTATGGTACTACAAAATCAGGTGACATAAAGGCTCAAGCGTTCAAGCAGATGATAATCAATTCTTGCAGGTATGGCTACTGATAACACTAAACATTACAGAGGGTGAATAATGATAACATATCTAAACGGAGATGCAAAGGTTGATGTGATGAACATATGGGCGTGGTATAGTGCATACGGAAAGTGGAATATATGTAAATAAGGGAACGCGGAAATGACAAATCTAGAAGTCCTCATCCAACGAGCTGAATGAAACATTATCAGGCAAGGCCCAACAGAAAGATGGGCGAACTCACAAAGCTTTACTTGACACCTGATCGGTCTTAGCATTCGTGTGGTTGACATTCGCCTTTGAGTAGTCCGATACACGCTTTTCGAAGAAGTTGGTCTTCCCCTGTAGCGATATCATGTCCATGAAGTCGAATGGATTTGTGACGTTGTACACCTTATCGTTGCCCAGCGACACCAACAGGCGGTCTGCGACGAATTCGATGTACTGGCACATGAGCTTGGCATTCATACCAATGAGGCCGACAGGGAGAGCATCTGGAGAGACGGTCAGCGTAACATAAATAAGATGAAGCAATGACGAACCGGTCAAAAATTCTTGCTCGATGGCGACAGCTTGGGTAATGATATACTTGACAGTCTCAGGATGCGGGCGACGCTTGAGGTGGCTAAAGAGCAAGCAAGCAAAATCGGTATGCATACCCTCATCACGACTGATGAGCTCGTTGGAGAACGTAAGACCAGGCATGAGACCGCGCTTCTTGAGCCAGAAGATAGACGCAAAGGAACCAGAGAAGAAGATGCCTTCGACGGCAGCGAAGGCGACCAAGCGCTCACCGAAGGTGGAACGGTGATCGGATATCCACTTTAGTGCCCAGTCAGCCTTGCGCTTGACACAAGGAATAGTTTCCATGGCATCAAAGAGATATTCGCGCTGGGCAGAATCTTTGATGTATGTGTCGATGAGAAGTGAGTAGGTCTCCGAGTGAATGTTCTCCATCATGATTTGGAAGCCGTAGAAGCACCGGGCCTCAGCAGCCTGGACCTCATTAGAGAAACGTTCGATGAGGTTTTCATTAACAATGCCGTCGGATGCAGCGAAGAAGGCAAGGACGTGCGAAATGAAGTGACGTTCGTTGTCATTAAGACGGTTAGTCCAGTCATGTGTGTCTTTTGAGAGGTCCATCTCCTCGGCAGTCCAGAATGATGCCTCTGCTTTCTTGTACATTTGCCATATCTAGTAAATTGTTAGAATGAAGTTAACGAGACGATAGACAGCAACAAACCTCGTGGTATTGAATGGGGAAAAGAACGAAACGACGCTTGGATTCTTTGAGCAGAGGCTCTTCGCCTGAAATGAAAAGTTAGGTTGAACATTAATTCACAAACAAAATTAAGGCACTAACTTTCAGGCAGGTCAATTTCGCCGACAAATTTCTTGCGAAGTTCTTCAAGCTCGTCCTCAGCGTCTTGAGAGTCCGGCGAGACTGAACGCTTGCGATCATCGATCAAAACAGGAAGGGCATCCTCGTCATCTGATGGCTTGGTTGGTGAGTCTAATGAGATATTTGCTAGGGCTGCAGCAGCCTAACGATTCAATAGCCGTTAGCTAGCACACGGTTAACATAAGAATGGATGAACCTTCTTGCTTGGTGTTGGAGCAGGGGATGATACACGAACTGGTGCAAGAGTGGAAGCCATTGAAAGTATTGGATGATATGTACTGAGATGAAGAAGATATCGCAAGAGATGGAGTCTGGCAGAAAGAACCAACCGAGGTTCAATTTAAACGGTTCAAATTGTGGTTGTGGTTATTTGTTCCACTCAACATTACGCGACGCGTTGTTGGTTTTTGTAGACGTGCCACGACCGCGAATATTGATGTTTCATCAAATTCTATTATTAGCCAAACCAATCAACTTAGACCGCTTCTCATGTCTTCACCTTGTTTCACATCGTCCCTTGTGGTGTATGTACACTGCACTGACACAGATCTTTAAAATAACAAGTCAATGAGCAATCTGCGAGTGAACACGCGGATATAATCGGATGACCCAAAAAAAAAACAGTCACGTACATCACATGATTACGTGACCTTTCAAAGGATCCGTAGCACTCCACTTGAGTCCACTAGTAGGTGCAAGCTTTATCTCTATGTCTGACACACAAGCGCTCGATTGTTTCTTTGTCACATCTATCCAAGACCTTTCAATTGAGGTGTGTGGTTATTGTTGCTCACAGGCACGCCTTAATTAGAGGCTGACTCATGATAGGAGACATCACAGCAGAAACTTTCTCTCAGCGACCCATTCCTCTACTCTGGAGGATGTAATGGTACGAACAGCTCCGGTACATCATACGAGAGTGGAGTTTCTGAAGGGGGTACGCTTTTTTGACTCTGCGTGTCCACCAATCTCACCAGAGCTCACAGAATATGAACCGCTCCTCATGCCTTCTCAACGGCGCTTTGTCCTTTTCCCCATACAGTATCATGATGTGAGCAAATTTCCTATTCACGGTGATGGAGCCAACCAATGGCGTATAGATCTGGAACATGTACAAGAAAGCGGAGGCATCTTTTTGGACTGCCGAAGAAATGGATCTTTCGACAGACATCGTGCATTGGAATACCCGACTAACTGCAAATGAACGCCACTTCATCTCACATATTTTAGCTTTTTTTGCTGCGTCCGATGGCATAGTTAACGAGAATTTGGTTGAGCGTTTTTCCAACGAAGTCCAGATCCCAGAAGCTCGATGCTTTTATGGGTTTCAAATCATGATCGAAAATGTTCACGCCGAGACCTATTCGCTCCTCATCGACACACTCATCAAGGATGTCCATGAGCGCCAGTATCTTTTTGATGCTATAGAGACCATACCGGCTGTCAAGCGAAAGGCAGATTGGGCATTACGATGGATATCTGACAAGGAGGCGACATTTGCTACTCGGCTAGTTGCCTTTGCTGCAGTTGAGGGTATCTTCTTTTCCGGCTCGTTTGCATCAATATTCTGGCTCAAAAAGCGTGGATTAATGCCCGGGCTCACATTCTCTAATGAACTCATCAGTCGTGACGAGGGAATGCACACCGACTTCGCTTGTCTTTTATTTACCCATCTCAAGCGAAGACCACACCCGGATGTTATACAAAAAATCATTACAGAAAGTGTCCATATCGAACAAGAGTTTTTAACAGGCACGTCGTTCAGTTGTTATCTTAGGCTGGTATTGACTGTGCACCGCAGATGCTCTTCCAGTTAGCCTGATTGGCATGAACGCAACCATGATGTGCCAGTATATCGAGTTTGTCGCCGACCGTCTTCTAGTGTCGTTGGGGAATGACAAGTTCTACAACTCCACCAATCCTTTTGATTTTATGGACATGATTTCTATGCAGGGAAAGACAAATTTCTTCGAGAGACGCGTGTCTGACTATGCGAAGGCACATATCAGACAATCGCATACTTCGGCGTCTTCAAGGCTGTTGTAAGTTTCCCACTATGTTATTCTAGAACACATGTCTCATTCGACAATCTAGTTCTCTCGACGAGGATTTCTGAGCTTTCATTCCCTTTTTATCGCGATTTCAATTAATAATATAGACTCATGCCCAGTTCAATCACGTACCTAATATCCTATTCTACAACCACCATATGCCTGTCTGTGCTTGTAACTCCCTACTTAATCTTCAGCATTTTACGCAGCTCACGATTACATATCTATATATATAAGATTTTCTTTCGTCGACGGTCTACGTAAGAGCTCGCGACGAATCTGTTACATATAATACGTTTGACCGCTATCTACTTCAGGAGGCGAAATCACGTGATTGGTAATTTTCAGAACAGAAGGTTTGGGTCCTAATAAGTTGTCCATAAGCCCTTTGATTGTCGACGGGAAGATGGTAATGCATCCAATTCCCTTGTCTACAGCTTTCGCAGTTGACAAGGATAATAGATTCGGCGACAAACGCGCGAGCGACGACAATACATTTACGCCAAATCCCTCGAGGCTCAAGAACGTCAGACTTATGAGCGCAAACGGCAGCTCAAGGACGCACTTGCATCGGGGAAAAAACTACCCACTGAGCTCAAGAATGACGCAAAAACACTAGGAAAGGACTTGGCGTTTGACGAGGCACAAGAAGGTGAGTTGCAATCATCTACGGTGCTAAATTAGTGTATCTACCAGGTCTTTTGATCAGAGCCGTCAACGCACATCGATAGCGAATACTCGCGGGCTGGTATTCAAGACCCAAAAATTATTGTAACAACATCAAGGGACCCAAGTTCTAAGTTGTTGCAGTTCGCCAAAGTATGTCGTGCAAGTCTTCGTCGCCCGTTCCTATTGAAATTTTGCAAAGGAAATGCGGCTCGTTTTCCCCAACTCGCATCGAATCAACCGAGGAAACTACGTTATAAAAGAGTTGGCGGATGCTTGTCGTGCCAACGACGTTACTGATCTCATTGTTCTCCATGAACACCGTGGTGTTCCTGGTACGCATAATTAGAGTCAATTCCATCTGTGCGCTAATTTGAGCATCGTACAGATGCTATGATTGTCTCGCACTTCCCTCATGGACCTACCGTCTACTTTACCCTGCACAACGTTGCCCTACGGCACGACATAGGCTCATACAAGTCCTCCACCGTCTCAGAACAATACCCACACCTCATCTTTGAAGAGTTCACATCTAAACTCGGTGGCCGGGTGCGAGATGTGCTGAAATTCCTGTTTCCTGTACCGAAAGAAGACAGCAAGCGTGTGATGACGTTCTCGAATGACGGCGACTTCATTTCCTTCCGGTGAGTGTATTGAGAGGACATGCTGCAGATACTAACTTGCGCAGACATCATGTTTTTGTAAAAGTAGCTCGGGATGTCCAACTGGCGGAAGTTGGGCCCCGCTTTGAGATGAAACGTGAGCGCCGTCTCATTGACTTTATTAGTAGCCAACTCAATGCTTGAATTTTTAGCGTATGAGATACGGCAAGGCACTATAGAACAGACAGAGGCAGAAAGAGAGTGGGTATTGGCACATTACGCGAGAACGGCCAAGAAGCGCAGTCTGTTATCAGGACCTGTGGCAGATTCAAGGGCAGATTCAGATCGGACATCGAATAAACGACAAAAGCGATAGCATGTACATTTTATGTCCTCGAATTCAGGTTCCTTTCAATGTATGCGAGAATCCCCCAACCACGTGAGCGATGTATTGTAAAGTGCAGCCCATTGCAGATGTGAACTAATCTACAGTAAGAGTCTTATCTAGCTCAGTAAAGCCTTCAAAGAATGAGGTAAATAGGTCGATCGCGTTTTGGACGTCATGAGAACCTGCAGTCTCGCGAATGGAGTGCATAGACAACATGGCATTACCGACATCTACTGTGCGCAAGCCAAGCTTCGATAACATCGGTCCAACCGTCGAACCACACGCCCTGGATGTTGACAATTAAGAGAAGCTTTTAAAGCTAAATGAATACCCACATGTCGTTTCGAACCTCGTACTCCTGG